GGTCTTCTCCAGTGTCTCATGTGGTTTGTTTTATGTTTCAGGGCATTGAGTTTGTGAAGCGTTGCGCAGCAGCACAGTGGCTCCCCCTCAGGCCAGTCGCAGTACTGCAGCAACACCCAGCCACAAATCTGCTTCATGGCCACAAGTCCAAACCTCTGCAGTACACATGACTGTTGCCAAAAGGTGAGAAGGTAAGAAACATATGAACTATTTACATGCCTGTCTTGTTTTAATAGACTACAGTTAATTTTGTGCACCCGAGAAATTAAAATAACAAAATAATAAACACTGAGATCTCTTTAATATCTCAATTGTTTCTCATATAAATTGAGATAAATTAATCTTATAGAGACCTCAGTGTCTCAAAACTAAAATACTAAAACTTGCAAAGGTCAGAGATCTTAATATGAACTCCCAACATTTCTCATCAAATTCCTCCAAGACCAAATGATCGGAGCTGCTGCTCATTTAATTTTATAGCTATGTACTCAAAATTGTGTCAAAAATGGTCTTATCTGTATCTAATTTTTATCCTTCTATAGAATTTCTGAGACAAGTTGAAACAAGATACTTACTGGATAACTTGAGAAATCAGTTACATCTACTAAACTTCACATGTCCTGTCAGTTAGATTACGTGCAACTTTGTAGTCAGTCTGATATTCTGTCTTCAAAGCCCTTCCTCTAGATCAGAGCTCTTATGTGTGGAGGGTCTTCTCCAGTGTCTCATGTGGTTTGTTTTATGTTTCAGGGCATTGAGTTTGTGAAGCGTTGCGCAGCAGCACAGTGGCTCCCCCTCAGGCCAGTCGCAGTACTGCAGCAACACCCAGCCACAAATCTGCTTCATGGCCACAAGTCCAAACCTCTGCAGTACACATGACTGTTGCCAAAAGGTGAGAAGGTAAGAAACATATTAACTATTTACATGCCTGTCTTGTTTTAATAGACTCCAGCTGAGTCTGCTGCCTGAATGATTAGTCAGTGTCATGTTTTGTTTGTCTCTGTGTAGGTAAACTTACAATCAGGAGGCAGTGAGGTGATGCGAAAGACGTATGACATGGAGGTCAAAGGTCACCTGATAACAGACCCTGGTGAGCTCCTCCATGTGTCTGTCAGTGTTTGTTTGTTTGTTGATACGAACTTGTCTTTCTACATAAGAACTGTACTTTGTAAATTGTTAAGTCTGACAAGCTTGTGTTTTGTTTTTGTCTATTGTGGCGACCAAATGTCCTCACAGAGATCCCACAAAACCTTAACTGTGGGAACATTTGGGAGGTTTCTGTGAGGAGAACATCGAGAACATCTACCTAAATCTTAGTAAACTGGAAATTGCAGTTTGCATTTGCTGTTTGGTGATGCAAGTGTTGCAAGTGTTGAGGCCAAGAGCTGCCCAGAAAGGGAAGGTTAAGGGTATGTTTTTCATGCCTTTCCCAGTTATGCATGATTACTGGGTAATAATTTTAAAAATTAAAGATTTAGAGAACTACTTAATCTATTTAGGATCTAGTACTTGAAATCAAAATTTTTAAACAAATTATTTTTAAGAAAATCCTGACAGTGGGAAAATAAAGGAACAATTAAAAAAAGATTATTTATTATTATTATTATTATTATTTAATTGCTAATACAAATTAGAACCTGTACACTACAGTTCAAAAGTTTGGGGTCTTTGGGGTCATAATAATAAATTAATACTTTTATTCAACAAGGATGCATTAAATTGTACAAAAGTGACAGTAACAATGTCTAGCGCTGCGTTTACACTGCAAGTCTTAATGCACAGATCCAATCTTTTGACCATATCCGATTTTTTTTGCCCGCCTGTTTACATTCACGGTAACACTTTATTTTAAGGACCTATTCTCGCTATTAACTAGTTGCTTATTAGCATGCATATTACTAGCATATTGGCTGTTTATTAGTACTTATAAAGCACATATTAATGCCTTATTCTTTATTCTAGATCCCTTAATCCGATCCCATACCTAAATTTAACAACTACCTTATTAACTATTAATAAGCAGCAAATTAGGAGATTATTGAGGGAAAAGTCGTAATGGGTCTATTGATTTTCTTTATAATTATAACCTTCTGCATTTTTCAGAGACACCCATCATTCACAGCTTCTTAATGATAGAGCCGCTCCGGTCCATCCAGAGGGCCACCTATCTCATGCAGCCGAGATAATAACTACTTTCTGATGCATTGAGAAGAATAGATCACCACTGGGCGTCGAAGCTGAAAACATTTGGGTTTTTTGGTGTTTATTTAGGTTGCAGACAGGAAACCATGTGAGTTGCAATATTTGTGGTTTTTCGACCTTTCTCCTCATTGTCCGTGCCTCCTTGTTTACAGCTGATCTTAGGAAATGACTCGTTCCCTGGGTGAGTGTTTTTGTGCGTGAGGGTTTCTGCCGGCATTGTTGTTATAGGTCAGTCTGAGCCTTCCATTTCTGTTTTCCGCACTCGTTTCCTGCTTTGTGAGCCACTTCCTGCACGCTGCAGTCCACTTCCTGTCCGGAGTTCCCACAGGCAGTTCTATGTGAATATGAAAGGGGGGAAACACACTGTGAATCACATGTGAATGTGACTTGGGTCAACCAAAGATCTTGAAAGTGAAAATAAACTAAAAATAAAATCTCAAATCTCTTACATATGTTTCTACAATTTAAGCAGTATTATTTTAGTACTATTTATATACTGTCATAGTATTTATGATCATTTTGAATTAGCGTTTTCAGTTATATTCAGTTTTCATTTTAATTTAGTTTTGTTTTGTGTGTTTTTCATTTTATTCGTTCTTGTTTATTTAAATATTTGATTTATCTTTAATTTAGTTTTAGTTCAGTTTTAGTAATTTTAGTACTTTGGCTTATTTCAGTTTGGTAACATTTCGAATTTTCATTTAAGGTTTTACAATTTTTCATCTAATATTTTTATTTTATTTTATTTATTTTAGCTATATTTCAATTAACCTAAACCATTTTTATTAGTTGTAATTTTAGCTAACAGTAGCAGCAATGAACTGAAGGCTCTAAAAACATCTTCTATCTTTAATTTTGTGCACCCGAGAAATTAAAATAACAAAATAATAAACACTGAGATCTCTTTAATATCTCAATTGTTTCTCATATAAATTGAGATAAATTAATCTTATAGAGACCTCAGTGTCTCAAAACTAAAATACTAAAACTTGCAAAGGTCAGAGATCTTAATATGAACTCCCAACATTTCTCATCAAATTCCTCCAAGACCAAATGATCGGAGCTGCTGCTCATTTAATTTTATAGCTATGTACTCAAAATTGTGTCAAAAATGGTCTTATCTGTATCTAATTTTTATCCTTCTATAGAATTTCTGAGACAAGTTGAAACAAGATACTTACTGGATAACTGAGAAATCAGTTACATCTACTAAACCTCACATGTCCTGTCAGTTAGATTAAGTGCAACTTTGTAGTCAGTCTGATATTCTGTCTTCAAAGCCCTTCTCTAGATCAGAGCTCTTATGTGTGGAGGGTCTTCTCCAGTGTCTCATGTGGTTTGTTTTATGTTTCAGGGCATTGAGTTTGTGAAGCGTTGCGCAGCAGCACAGTGGCTCCCCCTCAGGCCAGTCGCAGTACTGCAGCAACACCCAGCCACAAATCTGCTTCATGGCCACAAGTCCAAACCTCTGCAGTACACATGACTGTTGCCAAAAGGTGAGAAGGTAAGAAACATATGAACTATTTACATGCCTGTCTTGTTTTAATAGACTCCAGCTGAGTCTGCTGCCAGAATGATTAGTCAGTGTCATGTTTTGTTTGTCTCTGTGTAGGTAAACTTACAATCAGGAGGCAGTGAGGTGATGCGAAAGACGTATGACATGGAGGTCAAAGGTCACCTGATAACAGACCCTGGTGAGCTCCTCCATGTGTCTGTCAGTGTTTGTTTGTTTGTTGATACGAACTTGTCTTTCTACATAAGAACTGTACTTTGTAAATTGTTAAGTCTGACAAGCTTGTGTTTTGTTTTTGTCTATTGTGGCGACCAAATGTCCTCACAGAGATCCCACAAAACCTTAACTGTGGGAACATTTGGGAGGTTTCTGTGAGGAGAACATCTTTATAAAGAACCTAAATCTTAGTAAACTGGAAATTGCAGTTTGCATTTGCTGTTTGGTGATGCAAGTGTTGCAGAAAAAAAGGCCAAGAGCTGCCCAGAAAGGGAAGGTTAAGGGTATGTTTTTCATGCCTTTCCCAGTTATGCATGATTACTGGGTAATAATTTTAAAAATTAAAGATTTAGAGAACTACTTAATCTATTTAGGATCTAGTACTTGAAATCAAAATTTTTAAACAAATTATTTTTAAGAAAATCCTGACAGTGGGAAAATAAAGGAACAATTAAAAAAAGATTATTTATTATTATTATTATTATTATTTAATTGCTAATACAAATTAGAACCTGTACACTACAGTTCAAAAGTTTGGGGTCAGTAAGAATTTAATAATAAATTAATACTTTTATTCAACAAGGATGCATTAAATTGTACAAAAGTGACAGTAACAATGTCTAGCGCTGCGTTTACACTGCAAGTCTTAATGCACAGATCCAATCTTTTGACCATATCCGATTTTTTTTGCCCGCCTGTTTACATTCACGGTAACACTTTATTTTAAGGACCTATTCTCGCTATTAACTAGTTGCTTATTAGCATGCATATTACTAGCATATTGGCTGTTTATTAGTACTTATAAAGCACATATTAATGCCTTATTCTTTATTCTAGATCCCTTAATCCGATCCCATACCTAAATTTAACAACTACCTTATTAACTATTAATAAGCAGCAAATTAGGAGATTATTGAGGGAAAAGTCGTAGTTAAAAGTGAATTAGTGTTCCCTATTCTAAAGTGTTACCACATTCACTTTAGACACGACTGGTATCCGATATCTGTTTAATTAATTCCCGCCCGTCAGTGATCGCTTAGACTATGCACATGGTAGGTTATTGTTTTTACTATATTTTTGATCAAATAAATGCATTGTTGATGAGCATAAGAAGACCTTTTAAAAAACATCTTACCAACCCCAAACTTCAAAATAAGTGGATTTGTGGTCCTTGCTATGATGTGACATGTGTGTGTTTTTTTACAGAGCTGCAGGCCGTTATGGACAGTAAGCAGCGTGCGGAGCGGATGGTGGAGCTGCAGGAGCGCCGGAGGAGTCTGCAGTCGCTGCTCAGCACTCGAATAGCAGAACTCAAACGTGTGTGTCTGCAGGAGGCGGTCAGTGTCGAAAAAGAAATTTTAATTTAATGAGGTAGTTTCTCAGAACTCGTTCTATTTATAAAGAACTAGAACAAGAAAGCTTGAGACGATAAACTTTGTATTTCTCCATGGTGTCACTGGCGAACCACACAGCGGTGAGCTGCCAGATCATGTGACGCCGCGGAGATGCCGCCACATGCCCAGCTAATCTTTGCTCATACTTGGCTTTTGAAATGCTGGTTTTACACAGTATGTGTTACTTCAGATGTGTGTGCTTTGAGTCATATCATAGAAAAGAGGGGTTGTGATTCTCTTTTGAATTAATGTACATAATGTGACATACTCTAACATTCACAATGCAAAACTTCCTCCCAAGACCATTTATGAATACTTAGCTGAAAAACTAAGCTGCTAACAACGTTACAACCATGACCACATTAACATATGACCAAAAGTTTGTGCACATCAACATCTTTCAATATTCAGCAACTTATCAGAAATGTCATAATTCATTTCACATGCAAAAATGTTAGCCAATCAATTTATATTCATTAATATATAATATTCAACAAAAGTGAATATGTCTGCTTTAAAATATTAAAAATAATAATGAAATCGTTTTAAGGAAAAATATACTTGTTCATGTTTGCTCTTCAGGAATTGACAGGTGAGGTTCCTCATGAATATCCTCTGGAAACTGGAGAGAAACTCCCTCATGTGCGGCGCAGGGCTGGTCTGTCCCGCAGCGGGTCCAAACATAACACCAAAAATGAGGTGTGTGCATTTGAGATGATATGGGTGGCCACTAATTCGATATCGAATACGTGATAGATAAATATCATAAGCTGCTCACTGTTTGTGCTGGTTTAGGAAGAGGACGTCTCTCAGCGCAAGATGAAGAAAACTCTGTTCAGCGGCACCCTCCGCAGGCATGTCGATTCAGAACAGCATCCTCCACACAGCAAACGGACAGTTCATAGAGGATGCCACACAGGTGGGTTTCAAGATTATAAAGATGAACTAAACACCATTTCATGGCCAGAATTTGTGTTTGGGAATATTTGAATTATATATACAGTATACTCTTATACCATTCAGAAGTTTGGGGTCTATGAGATTTTGGAATGTTTTTGAAAGAAGTCTCTTCTGCTCACTAAGGCTGCATGTGTTTATGAAAAATACAGTAAAAACAAATAATGTGAAATGTTTTGACAATTTATGATAAGTACGTTTTATTTGAATATATTTTAAAATGTCATTTATTCCTGTGATCAAAGCTGAATTTTCAGAATCATTACTCCAGTCTTCAGTGTTACATGATCCTTCAGGAATTGCTGCTTAAGAAACATTTCTTATTATTAACGATGTTGAAGTTTATTTGCAATAGAAATCTTTTCTAACATTGGCTACGTTTACATGCACAATTTTTGGTTCAGTTGGACTGAATTCATTCCGATTGATGAATCTGAATGTAGTGTTTACTGTTTACATGAACGCTAAAGAAAGTGATCGGGTTGATGTGCTTGTTTAGCTATGTCACAAGCTTCAAATCGGAATAGATTTTTTTTGACATGTGCACACTGCACATATATAGAGTTTCTCACTGTTTGCACATAATAACCACTCTCCTACACGGTTTATTTATATGTTTTTAACAGCAGAATTAATTTATTAATTTCAGTGGTGGACAGTAACGAAGTAGTTTTCAGGCAAGCATTTTTCAAGTATCTGTACTTTACTGGAGTATTATTAATGGAGTTTTATTTTGAGTAACGTTTACTTTTACTTCACTACATTCCAAAGCATAAGATCGTATTTTTTACTTCACTACATTTCATAAAACGTATACTCCTTATAATATATCACGTGCTCCGAGACGCAGAAGCGGTGTATGATTCATGAACGAACACTATATTAACAAAGATTCTTCACTTATAGTGCTAAACTCATGTGACTTAGTCTTTGGTAAATTACCTGATGAGATTTGGTGGGAGAGACAGGGTGAAGACTGATTTACAGTGGATCAGACCAGTTTAATGTCAGGCTGGCGGTCTGGCTCTGGACCGTGGGAACATTTGAATGTGTTTGCGTGTTTGTGTCTGTGCTGTAAATTTAGAAAAGAGTTTCTTATGTGTGCAAACATGGAAAACAGTCTGCTTTAAATGAGACACGTAAGACGTGATGAAGTGCAACAGGAAGTGTTGAGGAACCAGCCTGTTTCCGGCCATTTTTACTATAATGATGATGCAGGTTCAGTGAAAAATAAACTGTAGCTGTGTGATAAGGACAAACCAGGGTTATTATAGTTAACTAAAACTACAACTAAAACCATAACAAAATGGTAACACTTTACAATAACATTTCATTTGTTAACATTAGTTAAAAGTTGTATCTGTTAACATTAGTTAAGGCACTGTGAACTAGCATGAACATGTGTATTAACTAACATTCACAAAGGTTAATAAATATATTGTTCATTGTTAGTTCATGTTAGTTAATGCATTAACTAATGTTAACAAATGAGACCTTATTAAAGTGTTACCATAAAAAAAACTGTTACTTAAACTTAAACTTAAACTGAAATCAAATATAATATAATACAAAAAACGTAAACTTATTACAGCTAGTTGTTAAGGCAGCATTTCTCATTTTGAATTAGCTTAACTTGATGCACTAAAATAAGTCAAACTAAAACTTAAATAAAATTATTAATAGAGTAAAAACTATATAGACATATGTAAACAAAAACTAATAAAAATGACAAAAACACAACAAAATTACTAAAACAGAAAATATAAAAATAAAAACGGATACATCTGATACTAAAATAACACTATAAAAACTATAGATTTGAATTACTACTAACTCTAACCAAAAAAAAAAATGTTTTGCATTTTTAAAATAATTATTCAAACCCCTTTAAATAATAACAATTATAGTTTACAAATGTTAAAATCGTGAATAAGTATTTCCACAATTGTATATAGAAATTATTTACAAATGAATCATGAATAAAATCATAAATAAATATTTCCCCAATTTTATGAATATTAGTATAAATAAAGAAATTGTTTACAAATTAATCATGAATAAAAATTCTTCACAAAAGCATTGCTTTTAGATTTGAGGACATCCTACAGGAAGATTTAGTCAGATTTAGTGGACTTCCAGGGACAATTTTGTATGTCTAACACATATAATGACATGAACAATGTTACAATATAACAACAACATAACCTTATCCCTTATCAGCAGCATGGAGCCAATACAGTGTGTTTATGTGACTTCATGTAATGTGTGTATCAGTTGAGTTCCATAATGTGTAAATGTTTATGTCCTCAGAAAACACGGTGAAGACAGAGAGCAGCTCCACGTCTGATTCCACCAATCAGGACACTGGTGAGTTATGGGACGGATCATTGCATTACATTGCATGGATGTAATGGTTGCCTAATGGTTAGAGAGTCAGACTTGTAACCCAAAGGTCGCGGGTTTGAGTTTGGGTACCGGCAGTGATTGTAGTTGGGGGGAGTGAATGTACAGAGCTCTCTTCACCTTCAATGCCACGACTGCGGTGAGACCCTTGAGCAAGGCACCGAACCCCCAACTGCTCCCCGGGCATCGCAGGAAAAAAATGGCTGCCCACTGCTCCAGGTGTGTGTTCACTGTGTGTGTGCGTGTGTGTGTGTGTGTTCACTGCTGTATGTGTGCACTTGGATGGGTGAAATGCAGAGCACAAATTCCGAGTATGGGACACCATACTTGGCTACACGTCATGTCACTTTCACTTTCATAATGAATTTGAGAGACCGAGATAAGAAGCACTATTACAATGGCAGGATGAGTTCAGTGGACAGAGAGGGTGAAGAGTCTTCACATCACATCAGTGAGTCAAAAGCCTGTTATTAACACTCACTGACTGAGCTAATCCTCTCCCCATGGCATTTTGATTCTCACACATTCTCTTTCTCTCTCTCGCTCTCTCCTTCTCTCTCAATTTTTGATCAAGAAGTGTTATGTTTTATTGGCATACAGTAAATGTTTTTCATTGATTGTCCTTAGTTCCTGAGGGTGTGGCATTATAACTATGAATTTTGCCATAATCGATACATAACTACCCTATTTTAAAAGCTCTTGTGTATGTTCAGTGGCCCCAAAATCTATTTAGACACTTAAGACATTTAAAAAATGCTAAAAAGTCAAACCAAGTGGCTTTAATTCATAAAGAAATATAGCACAAATATTGCTTGTGCAGCATTTGAGCACAGATCACACTGGCTTCATTTTGTTATTTAATGCAATGAAATTATAAAAAAACGTTTTATTATATACTGTTCAAAAGTTAATCCTTTTAATCAGAAAGAACTCATACAATATTACTGTTTTTATTGTTTTTGATCAAATAAATGCGGCTTTGGTGAGCATAAGAAGCCTCTTTCAAAAAGCTAACCAACCCCAAACCTTTGAACTGTAGTGTGCCTTAAAAGTTTATCTTTGTGAAGTAGAAAGCATGCTTCTGTCTCAACCTCACAAGTCTCTCTCTCTCTCTCTCTCCATCAGAAGATGCCTCTGATGGCCTGTCACCCTCACAGCCCCGGCTGGTCTTGGGGAGCCCAGACAACAGGTTTTCTCGAAAACTCTCCCCAGTGGAGATCTATTACGAGATGAAAACACGCCGCAACTCTGTGGCCAGCTCAGCCAGGTACACACTCAGCACAATTTGCTTTGTTGTTGCTAGGAACAGCTGTTTTTCCACTTAATGGTGAATCGGCATTAATTAGCTTTCCTGGAATCACCTCATTTAGATGAAAACCAGTTGAAGTGGTTTGTAATTAAAACCTGATTCTGGAATAAAGGCTCTGTACCACTCAATGATATTTAGGCAGTAAAGGAATAGTTCACTCAAAAATGAAATTTTGCTGAACATTGACTCACCCTCAGGCTATCTAACATGTAGATGAGTTTGTTTCTTTATCGGAACAGATTTTGAGAAATTTAGCACTACATCACTTGCTCACCAATAGATCCTCTGCAGTGAATGGGTGCCGTCAGAATAAGAGTCCAAACAGCTGATAAAAACATCACAATAATTCACAAGTCATGACTCCTAAAAATGACTTGTAAACTCAATCAGCTGTAGCTAATCACCTTCTCAATGGCACACAAAGCCATTTCACTTTGTGTCTTCATTTCAGGCTGCAACACAACAAAATGTTATTGAATTGCTTGATTATTTTAAAGGGGGTGATTCTTTTCTATACCCACTGTAGATGAGTTTGAGTAAATGTTTAGCAAAAAAGCTAAAAGACATTATTAGCAACTGTAACCACTTCAGCTGTGACTATACTGTAATCATAATGTAGCAATGATTTTTTTAAATTAAAATATTGTTGTTTAAACAAAATAATAAGGCAACAACATTATTTTATCATCAGTTTTATAAAATGGTCACCATATAACAACAATCCAGGTTTGTTAACTGTGTGCTAGATTCATAACAAGAAGGCTAAACTTGTATTTTTCTGCCAGCCCGAGTCACTCTCTTCCAAGAAGTGTGTCGAATCTGGAAGGTAGAAGTGTCCCGGCAACTCCTCTCCTGTCCCGCAATGGAATAACAGGAGTGCACATCAGGTTACAAATGCGCAAAACACACATATAGACACTTGGCTAATGGTTTATATTGTAGTTAAAAGCCCTGAATTGATAATGGCTCAAACATTTTGATTAAATTACTTATTTGTGTATTGAAGTAATGGATGCCTAAGGAGGTTGAGTGTAAAGCCCCATTATTTCCATCTCAATTTAATTACACAGACAGAGCAGCTTGTTGTGCCGCAGTGCAGGGAGATACTGCTATCAGCATGTACTGTGCACTGATACATTGTGTGGCTGTCATTTAATCAGAGCGTCACTTGGGTAGCTTAAAGGGATAGTCCAGCCAAAAATGAAAAGTCTGTCATTATTTACTCACCCTTGTATGCATTTCTTTGATCTGCAGAACACAAAAGATGATATTTGGAAGAATGCTGGTTCCTATCGACTTGCATTGTATTTTTTGTCCAATGGAAGTCAATGGGAACTGAAATTGTTTGGTTACCAGCATTCTTTCAAATATCATCTGTTATGTTCCACAGAACAAAGAAAGTCATACAGGTTTGGAGCAACATGCGGGTGAGTGGACTGTCCCTTTAAATAAGAAATGCAGTTTTGCTGCTTTAATGAAGCTGAATTCTTTGATGAATAGAAAATTCTAAAGAACAGCATTTATTTGAAATTGAAAAACATTTTAAACATTAACATTATAAACTAATTTATTATTAACATTATCATTTCAAACAGTAACATAATGTCTTTAATGTCACTTTTGATCGATTTAATGCATCCTTGCTGAATAAATGTATTAGTTTCTTTCAAAAATAAAAATCTTACTGATTCCAAACTTTTGAACAGTAGTGTATATATTTCCAATGTAAATTAAATGTGCTTGTTTAGCACTTTGTTTTTTACAATTAATATTGTTCTATACAACAAAAAGTGCTCTCTACAAAAACCCAGTAAGCAAGGACAACAATATTACACCTAAAAATACATACAATTAATAAATGTCTTTATTGTCACTTTTGATCAATTGCATTCTTGCTGAAAAAAATATTAATTGATAAAATTTTAAATTTAATAAAAAAAAAAAAAAAGTAAAATAAATAAAAAATGGTAGTGTATGTATTTTAATGTCTTGTTTATTTGTGTAGGTCAGAATCCTCTAGCGGCACTGCTGCTGTGAAGCAGTGGTCAGACAATCCCGAGGCGTCCCATCAGGTGCCTCTGCAGTCTCAGGACGGGTCGTCCTCAGGGTCCTATGAGCAAGGGCACAGGCGTAGCAATAGCTCCGAGACGTTACTCGACCGGCACGGCACCTCAGCGGAGGACGGAGGTCAAAGGTCAGCCATGCCTGTACGGAACGGCCCATACAAGAGCTCGGAAGCCATCATGGACACGACTTTAAAACAGGCGCAACGGAGCAGCCCCGAACGGCAGGTAAACGGGCACACCGAACTGGGCCGCGTTCGCTCGGCTGCGGGAGGTCGAGGAACGAACGGAGGTGGCGGTTACAGTGAGATCCTCATGGATTATGTGTGGGGGAAGCAGCAGAAGATGCAAGCTCAGCAACAGCAAAGACTGCAGGTGCAAAGTAATGCAAAAACCCGGCCGTGGGCCGACGGTCCCAGTGCTCCACCGCTTCCTTACAGGAACGGCTTTGCCCAATCTCAGCAGCTTATCCTAGGCAACGGCCCTCCGGCCTACAGCCCTCTAATGCTGAGAGGGAAACCCGGCGAGCCACGGAGAGTCAAAGTGTCACGCACCAAATCCTGCGGCCCGTTCGTTCCCTTACAGCAGCACCAGCAAGAGTCCATCCTGCTCTCTGCCTACACCGAAACCAACACCTCCAATGGTACCGCCACACATAACCAGCAGATCGACCACCCCCACAGGCCACCTCATTACCCTCTTGACTCCTCCGCACCCACGACCCCCAACGACCCCACGCGCAGCCTGCACAAGGCCCTGGCACTGGAGGGTTTGAGAGACTGGTATCTGCGGAATGCGCTGGGACAGATGGCCAATGGAGGGAAGGGCAAAGAGGGGACGCAGACTCAGCGCAGGCGTACCACGTCCTCTCTGCACAACTCACACCCCCATCCTCCACTCAAACACCAGCCACAGTCCTTCCAAACAGACACGTCCTATCCACACATCCCCCAGTCAGCCACATTTCATGGACACCCTCTACACGGCAGGTAATTGCAGACTGAATAAAAACATACATTCATCAAGACACATTTATAAAGAAGCCCTTGTTGCAGTAAAAAATGTTATTACTAAATAAATATAAATGCAATATATATATAAAAATTAATGCATTAGGTATTATACATACTAATGCATTTCACATTTTAAGTTGTACAAATTAATAATTTATTGAATGAATTTTCATTACAATATTTTGAAAGAAGAATAATAATAATAATAATAATAATATATTTTGAATGAACAATAGTATGTTTCTAAATTAATCTTTTAATTATTTTATATTGAAATATTTGAAATATTATTTTGAAATAATATTTAAATGGAAAAAAAGCTATTTTAATACATTTTTTATGTAATTGAATCCTTTGATGGCTCCTGTTCTCAGTGTCATGTGATCCTTGAACAAGAAACAACAATGAAAAATAGTATATTTTTAAATGAACATTAAATAAATATTTTAAATCGTTTATATTTATTATATACACTACCATTCAAAAGTATGTGGTTGGTAATATTTTTAGATGTTTTTTCAAAAAGTCTTTTATGCTCAATAAGGCTGCATTTATTTGATCAAAAATAGAGTAAAACATTGTAAAATATAGGTAATGTTGTGAGATATTATTGTAATTTAATAAAACTATTTTCTATTTGAATACATTTTAAAATGTAATTTATTCCTGTGATGCAAAGCTGAATTGTCACATGATCTTTCAGAAATCATTCTAATATGCTGATTTGCTGCTTAAGAAACATTTATTATTATAATTTTTAATAACAGTTGAGCTTTGTAATATTTTTGTGATAATTGATACATTTTTTTCCTGGATTATTTGATGAATAGAATGTTCAAAAGAACAGCATTTATAGTCTTTGGTGTCACTTTTGATCAATTTAATACATCTTTGCTAAAAAAAAAAAAAACTTAATGACCCCAAACATTTATGTTATATGTATTTTATATATAGTTCCTTTTCTTAGATATTACCTATCATATCTGATTTTGTCGCCTCTTCTTTCTCATCACTTATAGGTCGATGGAGCTTTCTTTGTACCAAGATACCTTTTCATCTAAAATGCAGGACATGACACTTAAAGAGAGCAGTAATGACAGACCCACGCCAGGCACGCTGGTCTGACGCGCAAACAAAAAATAGACACAAACACAAAGAGACTACAGCAAACACCAGCTTACGTGTGTATGGAATGGCAGACTGAGAGAATGCCATAATGGACTATCAAAGAGACTTTTTGCTTCCTTTCAGTGGTTAGAATTGAATAATTCTGACAGAAATCAGTCTGACATCCTTGTTATACTAACATATGCTAAGCTACCACTGACATGGGACAAATACTCGTACTCAAGACCCTTTTCAGCATGAAATCAAGCTGTCTTCTTGTTTCAGATCATCTCTGGGTTCCTGCAGACTTCTTATGTAGTTTCCCTTTTAATCAGCAAAAGTAGTAGCAAGCTCTGGCAAAAGAGACAATATGTCAGCACATTCCTATCAGTGTACAATGTGAGTTCATTCTATCACACTATTTCCTTGATATGGATTTGTCACAAAATATATACAAAGAGTTTTAGTTGTTCATGAGAATCCACGAGACCTTCCAAAAGCCGTACTGGACATTTTAAGGCCCTCTGAAAAACGAATCAGGATCTTCTCAATGTTTTTATGGAAATATTTCTATGCAAATTACAATCAAGAAGACTGTGTTTAGACAAAATTAATCATTTGAGTTTTGGTTTTGTCATTCTGAGTAGCAATTTTAAAATATGTAGGAGAAAAAAACTAGCCAAATCTTAAACTCTGATGGACTGTTATAGAGTCAGGGACTCACAGTATTTCATGAAATGTACAATTCCGTTAGTATCTTTATTACTAATCATAACGTGGAGGAATATAAATGTGCTCTTTCAGGACGATGACTTTAAGAATGGCACAAAGGTCGCTGTGCAGCTCCAACAACATCTTTATCTGTATCACTCGTATTTATGATGCTTTCTATTTCCTCAGGCTGTAATTGTATACCAGTATTAATATCCACAATCACTGAGAAAACAGAGAAATTCACAGGTAGAATAAAGGATAAATGACATTTGATGTATTTAAAAATTGAATTTTTTGATATAAAAATTAAACCAGAATGAAAGATTGAATTTCATGAAATCTGTCAAAAACAAATTTCACTCCAAAATCACAAGAAAAATGATATTTTAAAACAATTGTTTTAGGTCTATATTAAGATTTGCATTAAAAAAAAGAAGAAAAAAAAGAAATCGGTACCTGAATAAAGATTTGCATTATGACATTTTCATGACAAGAAAATGCACTTTCTCATTACTGTAATAGAAGAAAATAATCATATTATTTATGGATTTAAGGATCATCATAGTACTTATTTTGCTGGATTTGTGCTGATTTAAAAAAAGAATCCTTTCTGGACAGGATGAATTTTAATTACTGTAATAAAAATATAATGTGCATGATCACTAAAAATAATGAGAAATATAAAGACACTCAAAAGCAAAACAACCGGATGCATTATGATAATGAGAACTGAGAGGGAAAGGTGCTTAGTGGTCATGAAAATCATGTCACAATGCAAAATAATAATAATAGGTTTTTAAAAAATAGGCTTCATTTTATTTAGGGAGAAGATTATTTTAAAAATACTGAGAAAAAAAATATAATCTTATTTTTATTTCGATTTTGGGGTCGAAATATCACTCTTACTTGTGTCCTCTTCCTAAAACTATCAGGAGTTTATAGAAACGACCTCTAGGAGGAGCCCCATGATCTGTTTTGAGGGGGTTCTGGAGCCATTGAAATCAGCAGCATCCACTACAGATGCCAGGTGCAGTGCTTGTGGCAAGAATCACCAGTTTCTTGTGTATAGCGCCTTAATTGCAATTGTTCATTGTTTTTCCTATCGGATTGACTGCAGATGTCAATATTTACTGTATCTCTCAGTAATTAGATTGCATGAAATGAAAAGGATTAATTAACCAAATTAGGACCTTGCCAAGACTAGTAATTTTCCTGCACCCTCCTTTAGAATTTATTTGAATTGTGATACTCAGAATGTGGCGTTGCCTACTAATGATGCCAACCTTGACCATTGTGCCTAGCAAATATGGCGGAGAAGACTTGCAGAAACAATGACTTATCACTATGTGTATTTTTCACAGCCGGTCTAAATAAAGAATTAGGCTTCTGCTTATAAACTATAGATTTTATTCTCTCTTTATGACTGAAAAAAAACAAAACAAAACAGGCATTTGGATTGCTGGCTAATCCACTCTAAATAATAGATGTAGTCTGCTATGTTTCTTAGTGTTAGTACTCCCTTCTGAAAAAAAACTTGATGTACCAATGCATGCGGGTATCTGTTCGTCGTTATTCCTTCTCTATTGTTCCTTGATTTTATTTGTTATCATTATGTAGGCATCTTGATGTAGGTCTTGAAAAGCTTCTACAAGTCAAATACCTTCACCACGAATATATCTGTAGAATATAACGCTGAGAGTTGAACTTACTGAAGCAATCCAAACTTTCTCAGATACTTTGTCACCAAATGCTGCCGTGCTTGTCTCAGGACTACACTGAAAGCTGCTTTGATTGTGGTCTGTCCATTTGAATCAACACCACTGATGCATGGAAGTGTCACTAATAGAAATACCATTTTTTCTTTCCTTTATCTTTTTTTTTTAATAAACACAGACTTTAACACAAGAGACCCGTGAGAAAGTTGCCGAATGTTTATGATGCTTGTAAAACCTTGCTGAGGACATTTTAGGTCACCTATGTCAAATGTTTTGAAAGATCATATTACACTTGCGTGAAATACGATTATTTCTGTTGAAAACAAAGATCTAAAGGACGATGAATATGAAGGATAACAGCCTTTTATTTTTGATTAAAGACTTAATAACTGTTGATTTAAACTGAAGGCAAATAAAATCAATGAAGTTTGTTATATCTGTTTTACTTCTACATCATGGTACCAAATGCTAACACTTTTTGAAGATGTTCCCTCCATGTTGTGGACACTATTGAAGATTGTATTTCCCCAGTAACCATTTTAAAATTCCTTTTCCAAAAACTCTTTAATTGCTATTTCCTGCTCATGTTTTATCACTTTCGGAAGAAACCTTTCCAGCTGTATATGGGCTAATTTGCTGTTTTCTCTTTGGTTTTCAACATTTTATATCGCTATTGGAAAAAAAAATCAAATGAATAACCAAGACTGTACAAAGTGTCTTTTTAATAAAGTGTTTTTGGTCATATGTAGTCATCTGTGTTATTTAACATGGCCTACATGAGGTCTAGTTTATTCAGCTCATGAAAGAAATGATTTAATAAACTGAAAAAAAAGAAGCAAAAACCAGCCTAAACTGGTTGGCTGGTTTAAGCTGGAAGTAGCTGGTTTTAGCTGGTCTCCCAGCCTGACTAAGCTGGGTTTAGCTGGTTGGCCAGCTGGTCTCCAAGCCTGACCAGCTAAAGAAGTAGCTAAAACCAGCCTGCTGACCAGCTAAAACAAGGCTGAACAACCAGCCAACCAGTTTAGGCTGGTTTTAGCGGGGTTTTATTCTCAGCAGGGTTACGTTTCAATGCTTCTTGATAACTTAAATGTACCAGTTGAGTAAGTATTACCATAATTTACTGATATTGTATTACAAGGGGCGTATTTTGACAAGGGGTTTGGTTTTGGCATCATGGGGACATAATTTAATTGTTTGATCAAAATTATTGCTTGGTACAATTTAGTGGCTGGACATTGGTAGGGACATTAGCGTCCCTACTAATTCTGATGTATTATGTAATATCACATTAATAGATGTTTTTTTTTCTGCATAATTACCAGCTTTGGTGATGTATCATCTGTCCTGCAGTCATGCCAAAGCTATTGGAACTGAATTATAGACCGATATCATACAACATATCTTGCCACAGTAAAACTAAAAGCGCCAATAATAGTGAAAAACGCCAGTGATGATAACAACAACAGTCGTGTGTGACTTTTGTAATATGTGGCGTGACTGAGTAATGTCCGTGTTTACTCCACCTATCGGCGCAGTTTACTGTGATTCTACCGCCGGAGCTCCGGTGAGGCTGATGGATTTACGCCCGGACTCAAACACACACCGGCGGCTTTAATTCTGCACTCGGACCGTTTAATGAGCTAAATGACAGAGACTGCATGTGCTCGTCACGATGAGGGTCTGTCATATTTCCGATCTGCTGTGAAAATGACCTTTACGTGGATCAAAACAGACGGAAAGTTGGACGGAGGAAGTTGAAGTAAAGCGAATAACGTTATATTAGCCAGCGGCGCTAGCACCGCGTCTCAAACGACACTTATTTGATATTTACATGCTGTCCGATTCAATATAGTGGAGATGTAAACGTGTAAATAGTGTTTTATATAGTTTGTGTGTCACCCCGCTGTTTGTTTTTAGTAACGTTACTCTTGAGTTTATTAGCTTGCTAGCTGTCATTTGAACTACCTCTGAAGCCAGGACATGTTGTTTGCCAGTTTATTTACACTTAAAGTATATTTTACGTTAGTTTACTTGCAACATATTAACATTTAACTTATCGTATAAACAAACAACATTTCCCACTGCAGTCGTTCAGAGGAGATCTGTCATAACACAAGTGTCAACTGTCTCTGATGCTTCTTAAACTCCTTAGCAGAAACAAATATAGACTGTTGACATGCAGTTAACGTTAGAGTTTAAAGGCCTTCATGTGTATGGCTGGGATTGCTTGTTAGAATGAGAAATATTTGAGTTGGTTTCTCTTCTGAAACTTTGGAGGAGACACTTGTTTGTGAGATTGCAGTGTCCTAATAACAAAATTACATACAACTCTCCACTTTTCTCTATTTAATCTCATTGCTGTCTCTGAAACCTTTGAGGTTTCCAATAGAACGTCTTCGACATGCTGTCAGTTTGCTGAAATCGCATTTCTATTAGTTTACATGAATAGACATCCGTATAGCTGTGTACTTTAGCAACCTGCTTTTCAATAACCTTCATTTTGAATGATCTCAGTATCGATAAGCTACAAAGAAAAATGTCTGTGTACTCAAAACTGCCCTCTGAGCTGAAGAAACCCCTTGTGAGAAACACCATTCTCCTTCTAGTTGCGTTATATGGTGCGAAGAAATTTTCCCCTTATGTATATGGCAAGCTCAAAGGAAGGACTTGTAAACAGGTTAAGGCCACAGACCCAGTTACCTCTAATGGAGAACCTCAAGAAGTGGAAGCCGCAAAGAAAAAGAAAAGCTCCCCGGCTGTGAACCGTGAATTCTTCGAGAGGTTGATTCATCTCTTGAAAATCCTCTTTCCTCGGCTTTTCTGCAAAGAACTCGGCCTGCTCGGTTTCCACTCTCTAGCCCTCATTTCACGCACCTTTCTCTCCATCTATGTAGCCAATTTGGATGGGCAAATAGTGAAAACCATTGTGAAGAAAGACCCCAGGGCGTTTGTGGTTGAGTTAACCAAATGGCTGCTCATTGCCATTCCCGCCACGTTTGTGAACAGTGCCATCCGTTACCTGGAGGGTCAGCTGACCCTCGCCTTTCGCACCCGGTTGGTCACCCACGCCTACATGATGTATTTCAGTGATCAGACGTATTACCGTGTCAGCAACATGGACGGCCGGCTGGCGAACCCTGATCAGTCCTTGACCGAAGATGTGGTGATGTTCGCTGCCTCTGTGGCTCACCTGTACTCGAACCTGACCAAGCCTATCCTAGATGTAGTGGTGACCTGTTACACTCTCATTAAAACCGCCGAGTCGAAAGGTGCCAACACCACATGGCCCTCCATCATAGCTGGCATTGTGGTGGCACTTACTGCCAAGATTCTGAGAGCGTTCTCGCCCCGCTTTGGTAAGCTGGTGGCCGAGGAAGCCAAGAGGAAAGGCGACCTGAGATACATGCATTCACGCATAATCGCCAATTCAGAGGAGATCGCCTTCTATGGAGGACATAAGGTAAGAGAATAGCCTCTTGGGTTAGTTTTCTGTCACCATTTAGGCTACTCACCCTCATGTCTTTCCAAATGTGTATGACTTTGGAACACAAAAGGAGATGTTTAACAGCATGTTCACCTTGCTCTTTTTCATACCATGAAAACAGTGTCCAGCAGCGATCAAAAAGTGAAGTTGCTCAG